TATTAAAATAAGATAAGGCTGCAAGGCAGAAATCTTTTGTTAAACCCCATAAACTTGATTTTTCCTAATCTCTTTCCATCAAATGATTAATCTAATTTTTAAAGGGTATCTTTTCATACCTGAACTCCACTACTCCATTTAACTTTTTCCTGTTCATTTATATTTTAGAATAAGAAGGATAATTAAAGTCCTCTCATTCATTGGGTCTAGTCAGAATCTCACCCATTGCCAACCTGGGATTCTTTTTATGTCCCCCTTAATATAATTATATAATATTAATTAAGTAAGAGAGCATACTCCCAATTTCCTAATTTCTTTTTGTTTTTCAGTTAGTACTCTGCACCACTGTAAAATAGATGAACGGAAGCTTCTGTTTCTGGCTAATTTACAGAACACGAGCTTAACTTTTGTGTATGCTTGGTATATATTTATATAATTTTTTAATCTAGAAAAATATGCAATAATCACTAGTAAACCTAATTTGGTAACTTAAAGAAAATAATATACTATAGTCGTTTAAAATATATCAATAATGTAAGTTTTTTTTATACTACTGCCCTAGAAAATGTGCCAAAAAAATCAAGGCTGACTCCCATCTCAAGTAAAATCAATTGTAACTAATCATTCATATAAGACTTTTGAAAGAGAACTAAGGAGCCCCACTCATACAGCTGGTTACAACATACCTAAATAATCATAACTACCAGAAATTTTGTGGTTTTAATTGTTGTATAATTTGACATCAACCATAAGCAAATCTTCTAGAACATTTGAGTGTAACTTGTCAATTGATATGAGAGTTAATGGACAATGTTTCTCAAAATGAAAACTCATAATAATATCTGAATTTCTCATTGCTTTACAAAGAAATATATCTTACAATATGGTGCTGTTAAAGATTTTGCACCCAAATGACTCTTCGATCTTAATTAAGATTATACAATAAATACTCATGACTTACCAAAGCAAAAAATTAGTACATCCAAATCAATTATACATTAAGAGGACTAAGGAAAGTCATCCTCAAAACTAAATCTAATATTGTCAATTAGTAATTTCTGAAGAAGATTAAACTAAAAATTACTTCCTATATACAGCAGCCTAATATCTCCTGCGGGGGGCTTTTAATATTTGGACAACTACATCTCAATTTTCATGTGAGACGTTTGATGAGGCCCTGCATCAAAAGAAAGAAAACATACTCATTAATCAAAAGTTCAAGATTTCATCATTATCAACTTAAATTTTGACAAAAATAGAAAAACATAAAAGAAAAGAAACCAAAACTTGCCTCTCTTTTCTTACCAGGAAAACTTTGTGACTGCAATGTCAGATCCTTGTTGGGATTTTGGCTAAATCCCATCTGCACAATGCTTTGCAGGTCATCCTCGCACATTGTAGGGAACTGGATAAATCAAGCAATTGTCACAACCAAATTACTGATGAAAATTGTTTGGTTAACTTATATATATTGACATTATAAAAGTACACTGACACCTAAAAGATACATTATTAGGTAGCAGTTGTCGATGAAAAGTGAAATTGGTAACTGAAAAGTAAGGCAAGTTAGCTGTTATAATCGATCAAATACAGTGATAATGTTAAATAATATTCTTTATACTGTCAGCCAGCGTATATAAGTTCGTTCTTGAATTATGGTTGAATGGCTAATCACCTGATTAAGATATTCACCAAGTCCATCTAGGGAAGGCAATTGCATTCCCAGAGTGCGAAACAGTGAGTTATCTAATGTGTTGGCCGAGCATTGGCTTAGTACCCCATTAGGAATATCAGTATGTTGTTGCCGGGGTTGTTGGTAATTTACTGGGAAAACAGGTTGGGGCAGAGAGCCATTTGGTTGACATATCTGGAAAAAGAAATTGCTTTAGCATGTTAGATAATGCCATATATCAATTAAAAGGAAGTCGTTGAATTACTATGACACTTACATCCTTTGGGAGAAGATTCTCTGCTGGAAAATCCAAACTTGGGTTAACTGAAGCCAACTTCATGGATAGGAACTACAAAAGAATGTATTTAGCTCATGAAATTTATAATTTGGTAGACAATTTTACTTGTGAAATTTACCTCGACTTGTCGTTGCAGTGACTGTACATAATTTATAATTTCGTCAAGCATTAATGCTTTTCCTGTTACCTAGTAGACACAAATTTTGCTCTGCGTTAGAACAGGATTTATTATTATTATTATTATTATTATTATTATTATTATTATGCTATAAAAAAAGAATTTTGTTTAACTAATTACCTTATTACAGCCTGGTACAAGATCTTGTAAAAGCTTCATTCTTTCACTAATCTTCTCTCGTCGTACCTAATTAAACACAAAAAAGCAATTATTATAGATTGTTAACACAAGAAAACATGGATTTTGAAACAACAAGTGATTTCATGATATAACATTTTCTTTTTTCAGAAGAATTGGTTGCAATGCTTACTCTCTCAGCTAGACTATGGCTATCAGTAGCTTGTCCTCTCCTTGCTCTAACATGAATATAGTCCTTTGGTGGTTCAGGAGGCTTTTGATTTTGAGTTTCATCACCTTCATTATTGCCCTTTGATTCCTCCATGTTAACTGTTCCATTTTCTGTCTCATTACCTTCTACTACTACTTGTTTACATCGCTTTGTTCTTGCATTATCATCACCCTAAAATGAAAATTTGAATTTGATTAGCCACTAATTGTATTAATTAAGCAAATCAAGATTATAATAATTCTTACCATGTTTCCATTAGCAGGGGCAGCTTCTTCTGTTTTCCCGCTTGAAGCTGTTTTTCTTTTTCTAGTAGAATTCAATTCAGTTGGAGTTTTTGGCCCTGTTTCTCCACTTGGCTCAGAAACAGACTCATTAGAATTAGTGATAGGCCTGCCCAAATTTGTAGACATCAATTCCATCCTTGTTTGGCCCGAATTCTTGGTTTGCAAAGGGGATCCAGCTTGCTTCAGGGATGGGCTACTCGAAACTCTAGGCAATTTTCCATTCTCCAATTGTTGAGCAGATCTCTGTGTCAATGGACTTGTTCTACCGTTAAAACTACGGCTACCAAAACAAGAAAACTTAGCAGCTCTTTGGGCAAAACCAGGATCAGTAGAGACAGCAGGCAATGGAGGATTTAAAGGAACTGAATTTCCCAAATTGGGCATGTGTAATTTCGGTGTAGTGTAACATGAATTATTAGTATTAATATTATTATTGTTGAATGGCGGTTGAGAGGAGCTAGAAACTGTGCTTAGTTTACCAATTAGTTCAGCATGAGAAGAAGACACTACTGAGTTCAAAGTGGAGTCAAATTGGTTAAATTGATGTGTAGAGTCATGATCCCAATTGGGGTTAAGGAAAAAATCAGAAGACTGCCCTGAATGTAGGGAATTCCAGTTAGTCATAGTGGGTTCGAATTGGAGGGGTGGATTAGTAATTCCACCATTCATGAAGTAATCTTTCTCCATGGAATAGAAATAAAATTAGCTTTAAGAAAAATGAAGTTCAATAAGAGATGTTAACTTGGAGAAAGAGAGGAAAAGGGGGAGGGAAAGAAAATGAGAAAGATGAAGTTATATAGGCGGAAAGAGAGAAAAGGAAGTTGTGTTTGACATTTTTTCGTTTGTATATTTAATTCAAGGAAAATGGTAGTAGTAGGGGCAGACTGTACTGTGGAACCGGGAAAAGGGGAAAATAGGGGGGAGGGGGTGAATTGCCGGGCCTTCAACGTCGGAGGACCGATTTTACATTTTACCACTTTTTTCTTACTCGCCTTTCATAGAAGCTCTCGAGTCTCTGTTCCAGCTAGAATGCTTACTGGTCTAGTACTAGAAACTTGATGATTTCGTTTTGTGGCCTAATTTGACGATCCAAAATTTGAATTTTATAAGTTCACAATATTATAAATTTATTTTTACATATTAATTTATACTTTATAATTTAAATTGAAAATACTAGGTTCAGATGAACTCCCCATTGTAACGTGACAACCATCACCGACCAGTGATTTTAGCCGCGGTTCGTTTGTTATTTTCGCTTCCGTTACGCGAACAAATAAGTTCTCGTTTTACGGTTTATGCGCTATCTAATGAGTTTAGATTATCGCAGTTTCCTTCACGGATATATGTTTGACTGAAAATAGAATTTAAAAAAGAAGGAAATTTTTTTAAAATTTGTGTTTTAAATATATTTACTATAACATTTATCTGTCTAACATACTTTGAAACATGTGGTTTGAAAAATGACATATCAATTATATAGCTGTAAAAAAAATTCATTAAAAGTAAATTAAAATATTTAAGTTAAATTGTTATCAAATTTATTTATTTTCATATTTTTAACCGACTAAATGCTGCAAGAGCAGAGGAAGTATTATTGTTTCATTATGTATTTTCTTTTCTTTTTCAATGGGGTTTATACTAATGTAGGAACCAATATGACCAACTCTGTCTAACAATCCTAAACTCGGAAACCAAGTAGAGGATGAGTACCTAAAAAGGTAAAGCGAGAACGAGCGTAAGCAATCGATCGGTGTTGGCGAGGAATAACAAAAGCTCAATTCAGTCATTTAAATCAAGGTAATTGTCCTATATAAAAAAAGAAAGAAAGGAAGGTTGCATATATACCACCTTACACTGATAATGATCTCAAAACCAGCAGTCAGTTAATATCAATTGTTAATACGTCAAATAGAACATGATCAATGCTTTTAACTTTAGGTTGAATGTAACTACTGTTTACCGTAAAATTGGTAATAACAATTAAATTTGATTTAGTAATTCTAAAAATATGTGATCTATTTTTATGTTAGTTGTTAGGCAATTGATGTTATGTGAAAGACTTAGAAACGAAATAAGAGCTTAAAACGAGATGTTAATCAAACCGAATCGCAGGCAATCGGGGCTTCGAGCTTGCCTATTCGAGGGCCTCGAGGTCGAGTCTGAAGCTCTGCTGGGAGCTATCGAAGATGGTCGATGGAGACTAACAGTTAAAAAATAAATCAAAGACGGCTCTTTATGGCCAATAATAAGCAATAAATGATGAACTTTTAGTAGAATACAATAAATACGAGCAATAAATGAAGTAATAAAATCAAGAGAATATGTTAGAGAGAAGAGAGAATGTTCTTGTATATTTAGTATGGAGCAATAGATATTTACAAAATGACAAGGATCCCCTTTATATAAGAGGGGGAATCCCAATATAGCACAAGTGAATTTATTACAAAGATATGGAGATGAGACACCTAGTTAATGCCACGATATGGGCTCAGACTAGTCTGACAAATTTTGTCGGCTCTAGCTTCGCCTTGGAAACTACCCACTTTCTTTCCGTACACGTCGGTCTCATACTGTCCTGAGGTCAGGCGTCGATAGCCCTCGATGGATGAAACTCGACCGTGATTTCGTGCCTTCGAGACGTTATAACGATGGAAAATTGGACCCTCCGATTTTACCGTACACAGATAGTCCCCGCGTTTCATAGAGTAGAACGATAAGAAACGACCTTGATAACCATCTTTCTGAATTTCCCGCGATAATGTTATACTGATGACGCAAGTCTCCGTGATAACCGAGATGTTACGTCATTTCACCTCTCCAGAACCATTCAAAGCATTGCTGCTTCTTTTTCTTCAAGGCAATAATGTCGCCGCCGATCCAGCTCCCAAGGATGCATTGAATGCACATGCCGGTACGTTTTTCGAAGACAATTGTCATGACCCAAACCATCGGGTTGCGACGGGCACCGGGTACCTTACTCAATCGAGTACCAACATAATGTATCTTTTCATGTCATACTTTCATAGATAACTGAGCCGGAAGGCTTCCGTGGAATAAGTAGAATACAACATGAGATACCAACCTATACATAAGACATATGGGCCTCTAAGACCAAAATAACCACTTGAAAACCGAACATAGGCCAACAAGGCCATACAATCTTTAACGTAAATGACATTTGTCTATAAGCCTCTAAGAATACATAATTTTTATAAAGGTCGGGATAGAGTCCCGCCATACCAAACAATACACATTTAACTCATATTAACCAAACAAGCAACTCCGAAGCAAATGGAGCGCACCAACATCTTCTGCCGAGCTGATAGCCTACTTGGAGGGCTCTCGACCTGTCTATCGGGACATGCAGGCATGAAACGCAGCGTCCCCAAGCAAAAAGGGACGTCACTACGAATAATGTACTGAGTATGTAAGGCACATAAATAAGTACATAACAGACATGGAGGAAATATAGTGTAAACAACTCCACCTGTAAGTCTAAATAACTTTGTAAATCATGAAATAATTATAATATCATGCATATTCATATGAATGTCATGTCGTGCATAGGTACATGTTTCATAACATCATCAGCCTCTGAGGGCATCCTATCATATCATCTTGGTCACTGTGGGCAAAATCATCAACGTATATCAGTTGATCAGTTGGTGGTGCGTATATAACGCCGTAACCTTTTTTCATATCCCATATAAATATAATATACATATATACGCGTATATAATGTCATCTGGTCATGGGTCAATATATGTATAAATGAATGAAATGCATGAAAATATGTTTAGTTTATATTGTTCACCAATCCATTGTGGTTCTATTACAAAAGGGTCTAACTTTTCCTTCTAGTAGTTTTATTGGAATCATGAACTTATTATTTATTTTTTTTGATATAAGAATATGACTTCATGGTCTATACTCTCTTGTTTTCTCAAGCCCTGTCACCTCTCGTATTTTCCTTCACTTGACTATAGACTCTGCAATGCTATCATTTTTTTTAATCTACCGTTGTAATCCATGTATCACTTTTTATTCATAATGCTTCCTTATCTCTCTTCTAATTACTCTGCTAATATTTCTGCATATCCCTTTTCTTGTGAAAACTTCAACACGACTTTCTTTCGCTTTTAGCTCTCTTTGCTTCATTTATCGGCTCTTCGGGTTGCTCAACGTCCTCGCTCTACTAGAGACAAGAGTCACACTTAAGGTAATATTTATCCCTTCCAGGCTTTCAGCGCCTATCATCTGAATTCTTTTATCATGCTATTATTCACATCTAATTGTAATATTCTATAGTACACCATCTGGGTGTCTCACAAGAAGATCTATTAGCACATTTGCAATATCCTTCGGCAATGTCAACTAACACAAGCAATCCATTTACCAATTTGGGTTACCCTAACCCCAGCGGGATCTTGATATCCCGTCCTTCTCTTAACTATACATGTTAGCCCCCATAGGGCATAACTAAAATGGGTGTGATCAATTGTATATACCTCTGTTACTGTTGAATATTACTCAAAAAGCTTATGCTCCTCTACCTGAATTACAAACACTGTTATCCTTCATTAACTAGTTGCTTCATACCCTTCTTCATCTTGCTTCTTTTGCTTGTTGAAACTTGTATTTATCTTCTTAATCTCTCATTGACCTTCACCATAAATATGGATAGTCATTCATGCCTTAAGACTTCTGATCAAGAAGCTTACACCTTTCAGTACACCTATGATCTGCTAAAGACCTCACATTTACTTATCGTAGGCATCATACAAAAATCCAATTCCTCTGATTCAGCTCTTCCACAGCTATCTCTCTTTCCAACCTTCTTTCCAGATGTAGGTATCATCTTATTACGAATAGAATATAATTTCGAAATTTGAATTCTTATAAGTGAGCTCTACCACACGATCTATAGTAAGAAGAAAGAGTGACAATCCTAAATGCCCTGTAGCCTCATGCTTATAAGTGTGGTTCACAACACACCCATAAACAAGACTCTACTAGACACAGCTTGTAGACTCCCTAGGACAGAACTGCTCTGATACCACTTCAGTCACGACCCAAACCATTGGGCCGCGACGGTCACCCGGTACCTTACTCAACCGAGTACTAACATAACGTATCCTTTCATGTTAAACTTTCATAGATAACTGATCCGGAAGGCTTCCATGGGATAAGTAGAATACAACATAAGATACCAACCTATACATAAGACATATGGGCCTCTAAGACCAAAATAACCACTTGAAAACCGAACATAGGCCGACAAGGCCATACAATCTTTTACGTACATGACATCTGTCTACAAGCCTCTAAGAATACATAATTTTTATAAAGGTCGGGATAGAGTCCCGCCATACCAAACAATACACATCTAACTCATACTAACCAAACAAGCAACTCCGAAGCAAATGGAGCGCACCAACATCTTCCGCCGAGCTGATAGCCTACTTGGAGGGCTCTCGACCTATCTATTGGGACCTGCGGGCATGAAACGCAGCGTCCCCAGGCAAAAAGGGATGTCAGTACGAATAATGTACTGAGTATGTAAGGCATATAAATAAGTACATAACAGACATGGAGGAAATATAGAGTAAATGACTCCACTTGTAAGTCTGAATAACTTTGTAAATCATGAAATAATTATAGTATCATGCATATGAATGTCATGTCGTGCATAGGTATATATTTCACAACATCATCAACCTCTGAGGGCATCCCATCATATCATCTTGGCCACTGTGGGCGAAATCATCAACGTATACTAGCTGATCAGGTGGTGGTGCGTATATAACGCCGTAACCTTTTCTTATATCCCATATAAATATAATATACATATATACGCGTATATAACGACATCTGAGAATGGGTCGATGTACATGTGTAAATGAATGAAATGCATGAAAATAT